TAGTAATTCATTCAACACTTAAATATTCCAAAAATTTATTACCCTTTACAGAAAGCAATCTTATTAAAGTCCTTCATGACAGTTTATAGCGTAATTATATCCAATTTATATTATTGTCTTATTATTTAAAGTTTAATACAAAGTTTGATCGATTTTTGCTTTTGTTGCGGTGATCTTGAAATGAGTCTGTGTGTATGATGAAAATAACCCTGTTACTAAATAGTTTAAATACTTATTTCTCTATCGCTGAAAATGGCTCTATATCATTCATTCTAGGTAATCTAATGGTAGTCAGACAATCAGTTAGCTCTCATCATCAACATAGAGCCTGGCAAATATATGAGTTAAACCAGGTTTTTTCTTAGTACCTTATACCGAAACTCAACATTACTAACTCACTCATTCTATAATGTATGAGAAATGATTTGAAGCTACCGTTACTTCATCATTAAATTGCTTTACGTAATAATTACTCTCCAAAATGTTGAAAAGGTCTTGTTTTATATGTTCATTTTTTATGAAGTGGTTTGGATAACATCTTTTAAAAAACTTGTAATAATCAAAAATGATGCTTATGTTTCACAGAACATGAAATACTTTTTATTTAATATTTAGTCATGAGTTAAACACACCTATCCATCATCTGCCTCTTTGATTTATCTGCTTATCGTATTTTTGTATTTAAGATTACATTCATTCAATGAAATTACAAACGAAAATATACAGCAATAAAGCGGTGTTATCGATTATATATATGGATATCATTTACTTGTTTATTGATTTTGTCGTTAATTTTTTTTATCATACTGATCAGTAGTAGGTTTTTTATTGCTTCTATGTTTTGAAAGCACAAGTTGAGGAGGTGAGGGAAGAAAGGAAAGAGAAGTTCATTTGATGATATATAAAGTTCTTTTTTAATTTCTGTTTGTGTCATAAAACCAGAATATTTCTTTGTCTCTATTACTACTGAAAGGTTCAGTTCACACACATCTACACCTACTAAATAGTACTTTTGTTTATATTACTAAAATAATATGAACAAATCAATAGACAAAATCCATTCAACAAATATCGTTTTGTCCAAAGTCTTAGTCATTAAATATTCACATTACATTTAACTTTACGGATATCTATGACTCATAGATGTTTTATTTGAGCGAATAAATTTGTATTTGAACAAACTCAAATTTTATTTTACTCTCTGACTGCTATCGATGCTCAAATGTCATACAGCCATAACTTGGGAATTTATCATTTAAATAGGTTTATGGATTTACATTATTATTATTAGTAGTATATATTATAGTAAATTGTGGTCAGCTTTTAAATGGTAATTCGTACTACATCTATGTTCTATTTGTAAATTAATTACAGTCTAATAGGAATCCTGGGTAATTCATGTGGAAATGCTTTTTGTTGAGTTTCCAGCATACATTATCAGAGTTATTAAACATCTACTATTCCATATAAAATCGATCAAACACTGCTGAGAAGTTTCAAGCTATGACGATGGAAGTTTTCCGTCCCGCTTGGCTTTCATTCGTTTTGCAGTTATCTGTCCGTGATAAGAGGAACTATTTTCAAGGTTATCACTTTAAACCGATTCGAAACACTTGTCACTTAAATATTCTTTTTTAGCTTATTTTTGTTCCTGAAGAGAAGCCTCAAACTTTCGCAAAAATCTCAGTGGCGTAGATATAAATAAATTCAAACTTCCTTTGTACAATGACTGTACGAACCTTCATATGACCTTTTGGTGTATGACTCATTAGTACTTAATATGTGTGTTTTGAAATGCGTCGCTTTTCAGGGTTATCAAGATTAATACTAAAACCATATGAATTCATGTCTGCCTGTTTATGTCTACACCTTAATATCCGATAAGCAGTTTACTGTGTGGGCTTGGCCATCAATTCTCTTGTTTTATTTTATGTAACCACCACAACAAACTTTCGTATTGCTTGTTAGGTGTATAGTGTTCTAGCTTCTGTTTCCGTTTTCTACTTAAATAATTTGTTGTATTTATTGGGTTTCCCATATTCTTTTATACAAAAACTAAGTAACATTTGTTTTACCATTGAGTCATCATTGCACAGGTTTCTTTCACATATTTCATCATTGAAATAAATTGACCTGATACAAGGGCGTACAACATATGTATATGCATAATTATTATGCCTACAAAACGCTGTGTTTATCTTGAAAATGTGTGTTTAGTTCTATTGTTAGTCAGTAACTATTATGATTTGCTCATTAGTTATTCTAAAATGTTACACATGACATTGTAAATATCGATATTATCAGCAGTAGCATATAAATTCGAGTTTAACTTTGTGTAATTGTTCTATTGTAGTGAACAAAACACTGATGGGGACAAGCAGATGTACTTGACACGAAATTACAGAGCATGTCAACAAAATCTGAGAACTATATTTTAAATCGTTAATTTGCAAAATGTCCACCGATTGTCTCAAAATACCTCAGACTTCATTGTTCTTACATCTTCATACAAATTGCATTCTATTGCCACTCTTGCTTTCTTGATCTTCCCTCATCTTCTGCTGCCAGACATTACATTCCTGACTCGCATAATATACTACTTATATCAATATAAGTAGCACGCACCACAGTATTACTGTTTAGTAAAAGACTGAAATGGATTGATGTAAGCTAACCGAAAACCAAGGTGGTCACTAGTTCAATTCTCTTACTAGTTCAAATCCATTTACTGACCCCCGTGTTGTCATTGGGTTTTTGTTACATCCTCTGTGACTGGTCACCTTTTAAAGTTTTTTTTTCTTAAAAGTCTAACGTAAATGTTTGATCACGATCACACGTTCATACACTCAATTTGAGTCACAGTCAATCAAATGTTTAGTGATCTTACTAGTTTTTTCATAACAAGGTTGCATAGATTTAAAACTTGTAAATCAGTGTTTGAAAGTTTACTGCTTTAAGTATTAGACCACGACTAGTTTTATTTTTACATCATTTATTTAATAGTTAATGAAGAGCTTGTCAATATCCTCCACAATAATGAATTTAATAGAACTCTGTATAAATCTACTTACTGCTTTGTAAAATTGTTTATTTTAATAATCAATAAAACTTAATTTAAACTGATCGTTTATTGTTAAGTGAAAAATTCATATTTAAACAAGAATTCTTGAATTATTTTTCTATTAAATAAAACAATTTTCTTTTTCATTTTGATTGATCGATTTTCAAAAGATAAATTTTTGTTTTGAAGTTTTATTCTTTTTGGTAGAAAAATATAAATGATTACGAAAAAACGTTAAAATTAGTTTGGCATGTTGTGATACACAATTATTTGTCTTCATCTACTGGAAAAGTCGTACTAACTACTTTCACACGCCGAAAGTATATTTTTTGTTCCAGAAGTGAAAGGATGAAAATATAGCGTCCTGGCCTCAAACTGAGTTAGTGAATATGGAGGGTTCACCTTGAGGAGTTGTGAAATCTTCATTCCAAACGACTACTGCACATGGACTCCAGGATTCCGAATAAACAAACGGCATATGAGCTAATTTTTACCACTGGCTGCGATAGGATTACAGGCCTTAACGTTATTCCACTCCCTTTGGGATCAGACCTTTAGACCAAAGTTTTGACGACTAACCTCCTGAGGAAACAAACTGCTTAAGTTTGTGCACCTGGGCAGTATTGCAGCCCACAAATAAATCTTATTTTGTTCGGCTCATATGTTTGATGTCTAGTTGTATCAAATTCTATACAAGCTAAATTAATATAATTTAATTCAAAAACTTATCTAAACGACCAATGAAAACCAGGAAGCACTGTGTAGCTGTTTCGCCTTATGTGAAATCTGTAATCATCTCAGACAATGTGAGGTGGTCGCGCATCATCACAAATTGATTGAAGTTAAGCATGTACACCATGAGATGCCAGTTAAGCGTTTATCGTGTGATCGAAAGTCTTGAGTTCAACCTCCACTGTGACTATGTGCGCGCACTTTTGAGGAATCCCACACTTGGACGAAACAGCGGTCCAATACTTTCTGGTTACTAGTGGTTCTTTAGTTAAAACCAGTCTATTATGTAAAATATGAGAATTCTTCAATCTTCAAAAACTCCACCATATTAAAAGTGAATATCTCACAGTAATGATAATACTTTAAATCACTTACTTTCGTGATTAATCTTATATTGCATATAATTGTTAAAGATAATTATAGTTATGCGATGGTGGCCTATATCGTTCATTATTTAACTGATAGAATATCTGAAGTTTGTGCTAATGATGTCGTTCAGAAGAACGATGAAAGCTCCACGACCAAACCACCCAGCTCAGAGAACAAAACTCCACCAAAATACCTTCTGTTTTTAAAGGTTATCTGTTTTAATGTCCACATACCAATTAAAGTTTATCCAATGACAATATTTTATAGCATTTTGCTCCACTTAATTCCACTTTAAGACTATTACTTGCCAAGTACATGGTTATATAATCGACCTCGAGCTTCACCGTCTATAGATAGGGCTCGGATTATTGGGCTAAACTAGGTAGAGTGAGTTTCTAACCCTTGATCTATTGATTGAAATTCGAGTACGTTAATGAATTGAGCCACTTCATTTCCAGGTCCTATTAAACCAAAAATTTTACTCATTAAAATCTGTCGACTTGATGCTATATCTGTATATAAGATTAGGCAACCGGAGTAAGAGAACATAATGACAATCATTCAAACCCATGAATAATGAATAGTTTGCAAAGATTCACGTTCGACTTGGTTTTTTATTGTATTCTTTGCTGTGTTATTTTAATTGTTTGACAGAGAATACTTTCGGTTTGGTTACTGATCCTTCTAAATAAGAGGAAATGTTTTAGTTGACCAATTTTCTGACTGCATACACAAATTTAAAATATGGTTACTGATGTTAGAATAATCATTTCTTTTCTGACCATTGAAATTATTTACACTTTTGTTTATTTATTTATTTTTTGCAACATCTGTTTAGAACTCCGGTGACATGATGGCACAGAATAGTCCACGTCGTAGTCCTCGCACTGTTAACACCAACTATTCGGTAAATGCGAACACTGTTGAATCAACTTATAACCCAATTGAGTCCTGTACACCAATAGGCGGCAGTTTACAAGCCTCTGTATCTGTTCATTGTTCTTCTAATCTATTGAAACCAATGTCGACGTCGATACCATCTACCACGACTACCACTGCTGCTATTTTCTCAGGAAATGTAGACTCAACACTTAAAAATAAATCATTTATCCCTTCACGAATAAATAATAGTAGTAGTGTTAGTAATCATCAAACTGTAACAATAAGTCAGAAACATGGTAGTATTTCTTCTCATCCACCTCCTCCACCCCTCCCACAACAACAAGAAAAAACAGCTGATTTACTGATTGATGACCCAGCGAATGAAATGACCATTAGTGAACTACGTTCAATAGCTGAGCGTCAGCGTCAACAACTGGCTAGACAAGCTCAACAATTACAAGCTAGAGAAGAACGTCGTGCATGGCTTCGTTCGTTAAATTCACAACGTTCAGTACAAAATCGATGTGTTGAAAATGAAAAGGTAAATCGATAAACGAAATTCAGTGATACACTACTTTCGCTCCTTTTCTGTTTATCATTGTGATAACCTTGAAACCAATAATAGTTGTGGTATTTTTCTAGTTCTCTGTATACGTTTCAGGAGCTTTTTTAGTTAAATAATGAGCACTGGAGATAAGTACTTTAAGTATATGGTACTTATTGATTCTTATCTGATGTTTCTACCTGTCGTGATAGTAGTTAATCAAATTCAACAATTTTAACTAGTCTTTTAATTAATGTGTGAATCTCGGATATTATATTTAACCATTTTTATTTCAGTTACTTAAGTAATACCATGTGGTACACTTAAGCTCCTGATGGATCTCTTGAGTTCTGCTTTACTTCATCATAATATGCAGCTACTATGCTCACTCTTAAAGCTTGATTAGTCCAACTGTACAATGGGAGAAGACAGCGAGTACGTTTGAAGCGTTCTGAAAAAAAGAATTATACTTACTACTCATACCAAACTGATCCAAGTAATACTTCATATAGAGCGAACTTGACTAAGTGAATAATCTGTTAATACCAACTCACAATCTCTTCTGGTCTTAAGATATCATATGGTCTTTCTGGTGTCGCTCGACAGATCAGTTGACTGCACAGAGCAATATTCTTTTCACGTAGCCTACTTGTTCAATTAACTGTTGTTTTTCCTGACAATCCAATAACGTATTTGCATGACTTTGTTAATGGTTATCGAAATTTTTTCAATTATAAATTCGAAATATAAAATGTTTGATTACTTATGCCTCTGTAGATTTTCTTGTCCCAATCAAAATATCTAGCTGAATCAGATGATCTAAGAAAATGATTAACAATACATAAGTTATTATAAAGAATGTCGATTACGAAATTATTCGTGTACAAGGGTGAGGATAAAAAGTTTTCGAAAAATCCTTAGATTACTGGAAAGTTAGCACCAGTGGTTTTCGGGTTGATTGCAACATGATAAACTGTTATGTAATTTCCTGTTTTTTTCTACGGTCGTTCAAAGTAGTTTTTAACTTCCTTTTTTTGGCTATCCCATAGGTCACTTCTAAACCATCTGATCTTAGTCAAGAACAAGAAATCCGATTGCACAAATTACGTGGTTTTCGTGGCCAAACAGAACAAGTTCGTTTGAGCAATGAAAATCTAGGTGAGAGTGTTAAAAATTGCCATATTTACACTTTTGGTCGCTTCGTCAATTAGTGGCTTGATACTAATGTAGTAGTAACACTTAAGGTTCTTTTATTTCTAAAAAAGTCAGTTTCTCATCAAAATCAACCGGTTTATGTAATGGAAACAAATCCAAATAAATCAATTGGAAAATGTATCATGGTAAAGTATCGCAAGCGTTAATTATAGTGGCAAAAGCTGTCAGTCATTGTTGAAAACCAAAGAACAATTGATAACTATAAAAGTCGGGGTATTGTGCGACTAAAATAATATGAGAATAATTCAGTTTAAAAGAAAGCTAATCATTGTTGGGTCATCTTGACGTCAGTGTCTTAGACTGAAGCGAAAATTGACATGTTTGTGTGTCACAGATTACAAATGAATTTTACAGATAGATACAGTTAACCACTAGGGCCCTGATTCTATAGTTTTTTTATCGATCACTGTCAGAACATCTATTGATCTACTTTTCATCTTCCTTTCACTATAATTGTGTATTTAGCACCTTTTTTCCGCAGTTCTTTCGTCTTGTTGGTATTCCATTTTCCTACAACATTTTGCAATAATGTAATACTTTCACGGAATTCGCGTTATTCTCATCTATTAGTATTGATTAGTTTAGAAGGCGTCACATAATTAATTTTTTTCTCTCGCTTAACTGATATCTTTCCCATTATTACCCTAGAATCAAGAGAAAGAAAACAAGTACTTATTAAGAGTGTAGTCCGAGTTTTATTCATTCATAAATTCTAAAGAGACTTTTCATCTTGAATTAATATAACTTAAAAAGCTATTGAAAATCAAGGACCTCTGAAATACCTGTTCAATCATTGTTTAAAACTTCTCGGTGAAACAACTGGAACTTAAGCTGTAAATCACTGAATTCCAACTTAATATTTTTAAAGGTAACCCGGTCTACTCAATACCAAAAGATTCTGAATTCCATTTATTTTTGGGGTTGTAAGCTTGAATTGTCAAAGATTTTCAAACTAGATATAAAATATCTGCTTAATACTTCATAGCTTTCAGTTATAGTTCCTTAATTGGTTTTAGTTCGTGACAAACTTTCTTCATATATTAGATTAATCTTTACAAACTGCGCATATCTTCTGGTAAGTTAGTCCGCTGAAAAGATTTGGCCATCTAACTTTAAACTGTATCAATATTCTAATAAAAGTTCTTTTTTCAGATTTGTTAAATTTAGTAATTATGGATGGTAACCTACCTGTATGTACTCACACTCTATCATAGAATACTTACGAATTAGTGTGATGTTAAACACGAGAAAGATCGAATGAAAACTATATTTGTTTGCCTATTTTTCTCCTTTTTCTATCTTTTGGAAAAACAAAAGAAAACAATTATATTTGAATAAGACATTCATCTTATAGATGTTTGATGGAAAAAGTATTAATAATAGTAGTAACCTATTTGATAGAAAAATTTCGTGATTGAAGATAAATGTTAGGTAGTGATTATTGAAAATGTTTTTTCAAATAAATATTTTTGGTTATTTGCCATTTAAATGTATGGTAAATAGAAGTATGCTAAATTATTGCACAATTAATCCTATGAATTCCATATTGTATCAAAATTTATGGCATTGAATAAGGTTATTATTATTATTATTTCAATGTTAAATTGTGTTAAGAGGATTTTAGTCATTAGTAAAACAATTATTACATTTTGTATAAAAGTTTGAAAATGGCAAAGTGAACACTTGTTATCTTTAATATTGGATATACATTAATTATGTATAGAGAACAAAAATGTTGATCGTACACCTGAATGTAATATTAAACATCAGATTAATTTTTAAAAAGATAAGTTCTGTGTACAATCAGTAATTTGTCTGTATTTTCTAAGAGCATTATTTATTTATTAACTTATTCCAGTTGTTGAATAAATCAGCGAGTCTCATATGGTCGTTTTATATACCAGTCTAAAAATTGATAAGTTTGAATCTTATGTCTTTCGTGTTCTGTCCTAGTTGTCACAGTTAAAAATCGGTTCTAAAGATATAGTTATTCTTAATCCTCCTCACAACTTTATTTCTGGAATTTAGTTTCTTCGAACTATATTTTGTATGTTTACTTCAACACTGCCATAAGTATTATTATTTCAGTTCCTTTCTATATGCTGACGTGATATGGTAACTTGTGCCGTTGCACATTTGTGACAGGTATTATTGTTTGAAACTTATTGATTATCTTCAGGTAGTTAAGAAATTAACTGTGATACGTTAACAGTATTCTTAATAATAGATTCTGATAAGTAGAGTTTAGTCGGTCATAAGTCTACCTCAATATACTTTCACTCGCAAAGCCAGTTAGTATAATTGCTAACTCATAATTTAGTACGTGAATCTGTTCATAGTCTTTAAATTTATATGCTTATCAAATTGTTGTGACGGGCGGTGTCCAAAATCTGATAATGATACATGATGTGTTACGTGCTAATCCACCAAACTGATTATTTGAGCGAGAACACAAGAGTGTGAGAGAAAGTGTATTGGGCTACCGAATAAAATGCACAAATACTCAAATATACCACTTTAATCCTTAGGAAATTAGTCCATTTTCTAGCTAATGAAATACACTTGTCTTTCAGGTCACTTCTGATTGCCATCGATTGACCTTCGAAGCATTGTCCGCTTATGTTAAGACCACCAAGTAGGCTACGTTAGGGTTAGATGTTGCATATTCAGTGATGACAAATCGGTTGATAAAGCTGTAAGTCTTTATTCGATGATGATGATTGGGACATGCGTTACGTATGCTCAACTAATGCCTAGTTATGACTGAGTGACTTAACTGAATAGTCTTTAAGGTATCCCAAAACTGATTGAATATTCTAACATGAAGTATCAATATTTGGATCTAGTGAGTTTTGAAAATGATTTCATATGAAAGTGTTCAGTAAAAGGAATCTTTCATCTAAGTGATGTAGCTCAGAATAAAGACTGATGGCGATTCTGCTTCAGTTTTCTCTTGTATGATTCATAACCACTAAAATAATTCTCAGTTGTGTTTTTACGCTAAGTGTACACGTCGACATTTACTACTCCTATTTCCTGTCATTTATTTCTTCACGATAATGTCATTTCATTCCATTTGGTATGTTTCTTGATACCCTGTTGCATCGGGTGTTTTTTTCCTTTTATGAGTAAATTGTAGCGATTTGATTCAAGGAAATCAATCGATCAGGAGATAACTTATATTCTAATTTTGTTTCATTTTAAGTATTTTTGATACCGATTTCATTTTATACAATGAGCATGAATGTTAGCCAACTGATGTCGGATAATGTCCAACATTGGATTATTAACATGGAGTCGAATTCCCATGCAAAATAAATGGACTTCACAGTTTTTATTACATTTCCGTTCTAACCTCACTCTAACATTTCCTTCCATCTAAATTTCAGTTATTACAACTCACTATTAAAGAACAAAATCGTGTGTTCGGTGTTTAGACACATGCACTATGTGATTTACTGATGCTTCACAAAATAACCAACGAAGAACTGGCTTTTGAATGTGAAATAATTTTGTTTTCCTAGTTACTATTGTTGTCATGTTTTTTTATGTTTAGATTTATACATCCAATATGTATTTAATATATACGTCTAATGTTAATCTTTTTTGTTTTATCGAAACTTCATGTTGTCTAGTAAAAGAAATCGATCGATTAGCATCATTGTTATCTGGTAAAGAACATGATTTACAAGTTTGCCGACAAAGAGCAGATGAAGCTGAACGTATGTTAACTTTAATTAGTCAATGGCATAATGTGATTGCAAGTGCACGTTGTCAAACAATAAATCAAGCCGGAATGACAACAACAGTTGGAACTAATCCAACACATTTATCAGATGAAACTTCTTCTTCCTCTTCTCTTAGCCTACCTTTTATGCAACCACCTTTTTTCTCTGAACTAGTAAGTATTCTTAATTTCATAAATGTTAACATTGAATTGAATCGTATCTATATATCGTTTTTTTCGATCTTCTACCGGAATATATTTTTTGTTTTGTCAAAATGGTGTAACATTTGATAAGAAATTTACATTAATAACGTAAAAATAAATACATAGTTTTTTTGTTTAGCTTTTTAATATCTATTTACTTTACTTCTCATGAAAAAATTCCATTATAAAGAAAGTGACTGTTATGAATTATAGGCAGAGGTGGATGATGGCTAGCAATGGAGTTCAGGACGCGCGTTTCGTCCTTTTTCTTGACTCATCAACTGGATGTACCTCCACCTTACGGTTGATGTCCACTCTATCTCTTCTGATAATTTTTGTGACTTAATAACAATATCAAGGCAATCCACACAGGATTTACATGTATCAAGAATAGGATGCTCAATTTCAGTCCTAAATATCAATGAGAAGATTCAAACAACCAATACAAATTACTGTTAGGAATATTTAAACAAATAGGTATAAATGAAAGGAATTGACCGCCACGTTTTAACATTCTATTTTTTAATTATTTTAGGATAAGAAAAGATGGCATGATGGCCTTGTTGAAGCAGATCGTTTGGACAGACAATTTGCTTTAGTGTTTGGACGTAAACCTCCCATACAAACATGGTCTTCTAGTCAGAGTAATCTACACTTTGTAAATTCACTTGTATCGGAAACAAAACTAGCACCTCACATTCCGTGTTCACTTCCATCGATTACTGTTCCGTCTGCTTCTCCACCATCTTATTCAACATATCATAACTACTCAAAATCTAGGTAGGTATGAATTTATTCAGTTGCGATTTATATTGACAAGAATTTTATACTTTTCCATTATTCTGGACCCTTATTGAAGTCTATGTACATATCGATGTATGTAATAACTTTTTAATTATTAAGTCTAGAATGTTATTGGAAATCACAATTCATTCTATTCAGTTACTTTCAGAGTTAATTACAGTACATTTATTTGTAAGTTTTTCTCAATTGAAATCTTAATTTCGATCAAGCATTGTCTATAAAGTACCCACCGTTCTTATTGTATACAGTGATTATTTTCATTAGTCTTTCGCTCGCATAAAATTAGTTACTTGTGGTTATTAGAGGATTACACCTTTTACTTAGCTAGGATCCAATTCTAACCGACGTCTAGTAGGTTTATGTGTTTTAAATGATGATCACTCTGTTTTCAGTGAACACAAGTTCACCGAACATCCTTTAATCAGTAAGTGGTGCTTGTCGATTGCTTTCTACTAATAGTCGTAAGTATCTGTTCTTGATCAGTGCAAACTGAAGTCACTTTGTAATGTGGTATCACCTTATTATCAGGCCTACATTGCATTTTTAACCAGCTATCAATTTAACGAAGTGAATTATTGACATATCACGAGAGCCAATGGAGTACAATTCATTTTGTTTTCTTACAATCGAATTGTCATTTTTTCAATTCGTTAATACTATTCTATTTCATCGTATAAACTGGATGGTAATGGATCAAGTTCCATCCTATTCTCTTCAGAGAATAAGAAGTGGCTTACACTGAGTTACGAAACTTCATGAAATTTAACTTTCCTACTCATTATTATAAATATATTATTTTTATTATTGAGTTTAAATATATTTTGAGGGTTCCTATTTTTAACTGTTTTATTTATCTATTACTTGACTACTCTAATGTGTAATGTTTACTGGAAATACTTTAAATTAGCTTCCGTTTTTTATTATCTAGATATTTATATTGAATATTACTCCATGTATGTATTATTCCCTAATATTAACTCTTTTCGATTTGTGTACTCCATGATTATTTAGCTTACCATTATTCATTATAAATTGCTACATCGATTTAAACCGATTGTCTATTGGGGTTGACATACGACACTTTTCTATTAAAAAATGAATAAGCTATTCTAATATAGACACTTCTATAGCGGATTCGATAACAGCAACTGTCACTAACTACTTCAACAATTAGCATCTAATAATAAAAAGATGAAGTATAGGAAAGACTTGATATTGAAGCAGAAAAACGCAAAATGGTCATTCGCTTTGTTGTTCACTTTGACGAAGTTCCACTTTATTTATTTTTTATTGAACTAAATAAATAAATAAATAATTACTGATAGAACCAAACCAAGCTGAAAAATTATCAAACATTTAAATCTATTTCCCAGTCAAATAAATTCACTTGAGATGAATAATATAACTAAGATTTGTTTATCCAAATGACAAATGATTAATCACCAGGATAAATTAACACTAATAAATAACTAGTAAATCCAAACTTATCATTATTATGTTAAGTTAAATGATGAAAAAACTTAATCTGTTTAAATTTAGCTGAAAAATCAGTTATAGGACAATCGATTGTTTCCTTTTGTTTATCCACTAAACTGAATTGGTATATATATATATATATATATATATATATATATATATATATATATATATATATATATATAGCGTCTAGTTTCGTCTTGTTTAGGACTAATCACCTGAATGAAGCTACATCCCCATGTTGATGTTCAGATTGTGACTCGAACCCAGTGTCTTTCTCACTAACTTCTGACAAGATGAGTATATAGATGTAGTCCGCACAGGATGTACATATACAAATACAGACTGGTCAAAATTCAGTCCTGAATTTTAACAATGGCATAAGCAGACCTCTTACTACGAGGGAGTCGATGTGCATATTTCCTAGCATTTATTTTTTGGTGATCCCAACCTGTGTTGCAATTCATTTATGATAGTAACTATCTTTATTTTCTGGGGTAACTAGTTTGATCAGTTAGTATCCATTTATCGATCGGTTCATTAGTTGTTTTTATTATGAATTTTTACAAGAAAATAATATCATTACTTTGTTTATTGTCACGAAATCAACTCCCTATTGATGAGAGTTGTTTCACTACATCCCAATTGTATTCACTCTTCTAAAAGAAAATATTTGCTTAACACTGAAAATAAAAAGGAAACCAGCAACATATAGGAAGAAAATTACAGTGAGAGAGAAAAACACCTCGTCTACTTCTTATGTATTCAGTTCCTCTTTTTCTCATGTATATAAATTAATTTTATCGATTTATTTGTACCACAAATTTTATGTAAAGCAAAACGAACCCAGAAGAATCTAACATCATTTGACATTTCATAAAACTGACAGTTTTTATTGCTACTACTATTACTGTTACTACCAACAATAATAGCAATATATTTATATGAAAAATTTCCTACAAGCACTTAATGTGCTGTAATGGGATTTTTCAGCCATTTACTTATATCGTTTGTTTATCTTCTCCTATTTCTATTATAAAAACAATATGTCTTAATCAAGGTGAAACCAATTTGAATTCATTTTATTGCATTCACTTTACTGTACTATTTCGATGAACAACAGATCAATCTCGAGATAGAATAGATTCGTTTTTGTTAATAATTTTTTTCAAGTCGAATTTACCTCGAATGCATTAAATTTATCGATAAGAATAATTAACAGACAAGTTTCTATCAAAAACTCTACTTATTTTTGCAGTCATTGAAAACCAAAAAGTAGCAGAAAACCGTCTCATCATAGTATAGGAATCAGCGGTACATATACATGACCTCACCACAAGTCGCGCAGTATCGAGAAATTGTCGAAACTAAAGATTTAAGTCCATGGGATTTTGACTCAATTACTTAATAGTTAGATCTGGAGATCTGAATGTCCTGGATTCGAACGCTGGTGGATTCATGGATAAGCACCAGTTGGTATGAAACAACTGTTCACTGCTGTCTGATCTTCATTGGTTGCTTAACTAAGGTCAATTGGTGATGTAATTTGTTAACTTGAATAATTACCACACATCTACGTTGTAGATAACTGGCTGGCCTCTTACATTAAAAAATGACAATTATTAAAAATCAAAAACATATTTACATACATCAAGAGTGCGTTAAAGGAAGAGGAAACGCTTACAACTCACTTGTGAATTATGTGGGTTTGTTGTAATTTGATAGCTCCATAAAACAGTTCATATAATTAATCGTCAGCTACATATTTTTCGCCAGAGGTGGCTAGTGATACTTTTACTAACTTTGAAGGATTGTTATATATCCACGTGAAAACATCCTGTTGCAGACGTCTAACATACACCATCTCTTCAATGGGAAATAATGCTTTATGTCGATTTATTGTCATTTTAAGACAACTAACTTGTTTTGGCCGAATGTATATTTACATGTTAACGCGAATCTGCTGATGAACATCTCTTCATTACGTCATTGACTTAGTATAAAATTAATGCTACCATTCTGTTGTTATCTATTAATGACTGAACAAAATAATCTTGAATTTAGGCAGTAACTCGTATATTTTTCGCTTAATAGCCTATAAATGACTTTACTATAGAGTTATAAAAGTATATTCATCTGAGGAGGTTGGAGTATGAAACAATCAAAAAATATATTCTGGAAAGTGATTATCCAGCGATATTTGTGCTAAATTCGAATGAGAGTCTTTGCAAATATCTGGTTAGTTTTAAAGTCTGGTAAGAGAGTCATCAAAATTTTAAGAGATATACAGTCAAAATATTCATATCGGTAAAGTTCTGTGCTACATATTTTATGTACGCTTGAAGAATGCGAAGATTATGATAAAGAGTCCTATCATCTCGTACTGTCTCTATTAATTTGCGCGTTTTTTTAAACTGATGCTAAAACTGATCACTTTAGATGTAATTCACGAAAAAAGTCAACAGTTCTTTTTATAATGTACGATGAACTTTTATTTCAACAAAATTGATGCGAACGACCTAACTAAAATCCATTCTTGGAGGAAGTAAACAATTGATTAGTCATAAATGTCAAAGAGCTCCAAATCCTCTGGTACGGCCGATAGTAGAGAGCGTCAGCTCTCCCTCTCGAAATGCTCTCACATGACCACGTGCATACAACAACTGCCAGGGAAGTCCTACTCACTGCTTTTCATCACAGGGATGTTGTTTACGAAAATGAGAGTACGAAAAGGGAATGTCCGACGCTTTAACATGGTTGGCGAATATGGCGTACAAACCTGTGGTTGGTGACCGGCTACCATGAGACTGCATCTCCTTACGTCGCTCCACTGCTTCGTGGATTAGACCATTAGTTCAAAGGCTCTGGGTGTGTTCCCCTAAGAAATTCATCTGCTTCAGTTTGGGCACCCGGGCAGTATCGCAGCTCACATAAATCGAATGATTTATGTAGCGCATATCTATTTGGTGTCTTGTACTAATGTTTATGTGTTGAAATAATAAGGCTAATAAATGTCAAAGAGATATACTGGCTACTTAATTATTTGTGAGTAGTTCGCCGAATACATAAAATTCTAAATGGTTAGTTCTACGGAATATCACCTATCACCGTATTCCACATAATATCAATTACGATAATTGATTCTCAGGTAGTTACAATTTGGGTGTGAGGTATAGTGGCTTAATTAACTTCATAACTGCCATAATTGTCATAAGCTTTGGAAATCTATGAGGTTATGAAGTCGTGCTCGTTCCGTGAACAACTGTGTTCGTCATATATTGGGTACAGCCATTCATTTCAGAAATAGTAATATAGTAGTTGATATAATTCCTAAAATATCTGTCTTGGTATTCATTTTATTCACTTGTGAACTCTTCAATACTCACATCAATTGAACTCTTTTGAATTCATTTTACTGGAGATTTGTAACAGGTATATCAGTAGGATTATAATTTAATAACCTATTAATAAATAATTTTAGGTTCGATTATATGATTTAT